TCTAGAAGCGTCTCATCTTCCACGTCGGCAACAGCCTCCGGATCTTGTCCCGCTTCTAGGAGAGGGGCATCCTGAATGGTGGGACCAGACTGATTTGAAGATATCTTACCCTCTCGAAGGGACTTGTAACGGTCCTGCATCGGGAAAACAAAGTTTCCGTCGGGTCTCGTGATTTTGAAAACACGATGCAACTTCACAACATCATCAAAGTCCGTTTCATTCAGCTCTTTCAACGATGCAACGAGGTAGTCACCTCTCCATAGAAAGCCGGGGTGGATAACATACCCAACAAACACTCCCGGATTGGACGTGGGATCAAACTTCAAGTCCTTCTTCGGTTTCTGTCTTGGACCAATCCAGTAGTCTATTCGACATCCGAACGGCAAGAACTGACCTTTGAACTCTTCTTCGAACCTAAGATTCCACGGTGTTCTGGAACCAGAAGGTGGTTCACACACATTTTGAGATAAACACCAGTGCCTTGCGGCGTGCGGCCAGTATGAATGATTCAACCCGGCCTGTGCAAGTGCGACTCGAGTTCCCTCGAGCACGGTTCTGATGCTCCGTTCAGCCACCGCGTTGGTTTTGTGAATGTACTCTTGACTGAGGACATGTCTCCAGCCCATCTGTTCAGCTGCAGCAATTAACTCAGGGGCATTATCACTATAAAACGTGCCAACCTCGTCCGACGAGGAAGTGAAGTGCTGAAACGCCTTCACAGTGGCTTCCGTGTTTCTTTTAGCAAAAGGGTATGCATATTTGAAACCGGTGGCAACGTCACTTATGACAAGGGCAGAGTATTCATCGTCTATGCCCAGCTCCTGTTCATCCGCAGTGATTATGAAATCGGCTGTGATGTGCTCAGCAAATTTTCGAGCATCAACCTGTCTGGATCCCCCCCGCGAGCGAGAGGGAGACTTGGTCATCTTCGCGCATTTGCACACTTCGCAGAATGGATTCTTTGGCTGGTGTGTCATCAGGTGCTTTCGTGATGCTGCTTCCTGCCTAAGGGCGCTTTCTGCAAGTGACCTAGGACTTTTCTTATCGGGGTTGCCAACAACATCTTCCCCTGCCAAATCTTTACTCTCCATCGGCTCAGCAGGTTCATCTGGAATGACTTCAACGGGGTCATTCGCCAGAAGCTCGGCGACAACTCTAGCATGCACCTCAGGATCTTCTAGAGGGGCAATGCTAGGCGTATACTCTTCTTCCGCGGCATCTTCGGTTTGCACGGAGGAGGAGTATGATGATTCACTAGGTGAATTGTTTCTGGCGACCTGACCTTCCGGTCGGCTTGGCGGTGTTCCTCTGGCGGGACACGCACATGCTGAGTCGCTATCCCACACGTCGTAGTACGGGACATAATCTCGAACTTTGAGATAAATTCTCGTCCCATCAGGCTTGACAAAGAAAGGCTTCTCTTTTGCATGCCAGATGAAGTCATAACCCTGATTCATGCACTTCAAACCTACGGAGAGAACAGAGGGTGTTTGCGGCAATAAGTATGGATCCGTGTTCCCAAGGTCACCTGCGGCCATGTAGGCCTGCTTTGACGAATCACTTGGTCCATTGGCAGTCATCAACATCACGGGGTCATTTGAATTATAAATTGCATATTCGGGGCAATTCGCGCGAGTGAAAAGGTCGGTCCCACTGCCAGTGTCAATAATCCATGAACAGTTCGGAGAAAATCTCTTGCTCGCCATTGCGGGCTTTGCGTGCATATCTCTCGGGGCGCATTGGTCGCATCCGATCTCGCTGTCACATTCATACTCGCATCTAGTCGGATGGCCTTCCAATTCACGCCTCACGATGAAGGCGAGCATGGTTGCTCCAAGTCTCGCATCATCTATGCTGACTTCGTCATGGAAAAACTGATGGTCGATTGGGTAGACCTTTGAATACACGCGCGGTTTGTCCGCGATCTTAAACTGCTCACCATGTGCTGGTATCCGATTCATTTCAACCTTCGAGCTGAAACGCACACTTGGAAGGGCAGGCATATGCTTCCAGTCCGACATGAGGTTCCCCTCAGCGATAGGGGCGTTCATCATGGAAGACAACAAGCATCCCAACACACAAACAGCAGCAGGGGAAGGCTTTCCGGAAGACTTTCCCTTGTGACCCTTCTTCTTCTCTCCCTTGGAGTCACGGGAAGTGGATCGAGAGGTCGACTTGGAACGATCCCTGCTCGACTTGCGATGCTTCCGGTCCTTTCCCTGCTTCTTTTGCTTGTCTGCGGAAGGCTCCCTTGACCCTGGAACGGCCGGCTTCGGATCGATGTGAGCAAATGGGCAGTTTTCACCACGGTCACATCTCCCCTTAGGGTAGAAACGGCACTCTTTCTTTCCCTTTGGGCTGTTCGTTCGGCCTTTACCCTTACCCTTCTTGGGCTTAGCGTCTCTTGACGGGGTCCTACCCCTGGCATCGCCCGATGGCTGTTCATGCTTGTACGTGCAATTGTCCCGCCGACACGACCCATACTTGACAAATGCAATGCAAAACCCCTTAGGCACACGTTGGCTCTCAGCGGCGGGTGCGGCTGGCCTGCCCCCGTTCTGCCTAGCAACCCGTTCTCGGTTGCGCTCGAGCCTTGCTCGAGACAGGTATTGCCTCACAGATTCAATCAAGTAGGTGTATGAGTGATCGGCGGACTCTTCCGAGGCGCTCAAATAGACATTCAAGTGGTGTTGCATTTGCTTACTTTTCTTCAGCTGGTTGTAGAACAGAGCCTCAAGCATGGAGTCATCCGGCGTCTTGGCATTCATTCCTGCAAGAACACCCTCCCAGCTACGCATGAAGGAAGTGAGGTTATCGTTCACGAGCCTCACGTTGAGGAGATCCTCCATGGCATAGGTGGCTCCGTGCTTGATGTTCGTGCTCAGGTGCTCGTGCACCATAAGAAGCACTTGTCTCCCACGAACTGGATTCCTCTTCTGCGCCTCTACCTCCTTGAAGGTGTCGACTTGTCTCGCCAGGTCACCCTGAATGATGTTGGTGAGGGCGGACAGCAACTTGGCGTCCAATGTGAGGAAGGCACCGGGATCTTTGAGCTCCTCGATTGTGACGGCGGGCTCCCACACTCTGCTGATCCACGTGAAAGCGTCATCAGGGCGGTCGGATGCCGCACATACGGCTTCCCGCACCTTGATGCGCCAATTCCTGTAACTCTCAGGAAGTGGGAAGGATGGAACAACAATCCTCTCCGCCTCCTTGACCTTGGGCTTGTCATGGTCTGCGTCCACTGCGCTCGCCTGCTTACCCAAGATCTTGTTGAGCTTCTTGCGGATCGAACGTGCCTTCTCCGATGATGATGATGAGGATGATGATGTTGAGGAGCTGGATGATGAAGAGCTTGGAGAGTCGGAAGGAGACCCACTCTTTCGCTTCTTGTGGCTCTTCTTCTTCTTCTTCTTCTTCTTGTCCTTCTTGCTCTTCTTCTTTTTATCCTTCTTCTTCTTCTTCTTGTCCTTCTTGCTCTTCTTCCCGTCGTCAGTCCCATCGTCATCGTCGTCGTCAGGATCATCGTCATCATCCGGATTACCGGCAGGTGGTTCCCCACCGCCTCCGCTCTGGCCATTCCCTGCGCCTGATGGACATCCGCCACCATCGTTAAGGTCCTGTGCCGGAGATGTCGGTTCGTACTCCCCGGCATCCCCGTCAAGATCATCGGCGGCACCTGGCCCGTCACGGCGGAGTTCGGTGGAAGCTGACCTGACACGTACCTTAGAACTAAGATCCAGGCCAGGGGGAGGAAACGTCTGTACAGGAGAGGCCTTTGGCCTCAGACCGAAAATCGGAACATTAGAAGAACTACTCTGCTCACTGCGAGATTTCAGTTCATGACGTAGTGCCTCAATGTCCCTCGACTGCTTCATGATAATCTCCCTCATTTCAGCAGCGTTCCTGTCCGCTTCCTCCTTCTGCTTGTTGTGGGTGACTTCCCAAATCAATTTGAGCCGTTCATACTTCTGTTCAGCTTCTGAGCGTTGAGCAACCCACTGCTGTCTTGCCTCGTTAAACTCTCTTTCTTTCGCCATTGCCTCTTGTTGGCATACATTGATGTGGTTCACCGCGTCCTGATAGAGTCGGCCTTTTTCCTCAACATGGCCGGCTTGGAGCTGATTGATGATGGCGTCGTGGCGTGCCGAAGCATAGGCAGCCACTTCCTCCGTGCTCGGACCTGTGTTGACCACATTCACCGTCTGGCTATGTTGATATATATTCGGGGCGCTCACATGATGTTGATGAAGGTGAGTCTCATTCTTAGTCATGTGCGCGTGCATCTCTCGCCCAGGTTGATGTCCGGCGAGAGGTTCCCCTCCGCTTCCCATCGAATCCTCCGGAAGAACGACCGATGTGACGGGCACAAGCGCATCACCTTGGTCAGATTCAGGAAAACTGCTTCGGGAGCGCTGTGACGGATTGCATGGCGGTTTCCCTTCCGGATGCCCACCCTTGATCAATTCATTGGCCACTGCTTCGTTCATCCTTGCTATGGCAGGGTGGCATCCGTCGCCGCTTGACGCCATTGCGGCGCGGGTGAGAGCTGACTGTACAAGGTACCAGCGATACGGCTGATAACCTGTTGAAAGGTGGGATCTACCTAAAAGTCAGCACGGGCAGCAGCTTGTTTTTCTTGAGCCATTGTCATGTCGGTATGCCATTACCTATCAACACCCTTTACAACCCACAAAAAAGGGGAACGCCAATACGGAATTATTGTTGAATTACACAGCACCAAACCGAAATAAGACCCGCTGCCCCAAAGAAGAAGCCTTCATCGGTCGCTCGTAAACAAGGTATAGCAGCAGCAGAAGTAGTAGCAGGGCGCAGCAGTAGCAGTAGCGGGAATACTTGCGGTAGACACAATAATATATATTTATATACTCATACCATATAACATCCACTCTTCCTCCCCCTGGACCAAGCTCACAGTACCTGCCATCGTTCGCGCGCTTCCGCGCCCTTATCCTCTGCGCGAATCGAGGATTTCGCGCCTTCTTGTTCACCACCTCTGAAGCCACCGCTTTGTCATCTGCAGCGATTTGGCTCGATTTGGACTCGGAAAATCGGCCTAGAGCCCACCCGCCTTAAAGATGTGCCCAGTAAATCCATTCACGTGTGTATAGTAACCAAGGGAACCACCAGGTAAAATCCAAAACAAAAATAGCTGGCTACCTACCAAGGTAACTGGGATCCATTGGATAAGTCTCACTAAGCAGGCAAAAGCCAGCAACATATTGCATTTGCGGGCACCAAACAGGACAGATCCACTCGAAAACCAACAGGGGACAAAGAACCATTCACTGACCCAATGGTCCCACAACTCCCAGCTTCAGGCCTGCCACACTTTCGCCTACAGATCTCGGAACGAAACCCCGAAGCCCCAAAGCCCCAAAGCCCTCGCGTGTTTTTGTACGCCTGGGTGCCCTCCAAAGCGACGGGCACTGTTTGCCGAAGCAAATCATCGGTTCTCAAGAGAAGATCCGATCTGAAAAAAAAACCGTCAGACCCTGCGATGCTTCTCTTGGAAGGCTGGCGATGGGCTCCCTTCAGGCAACCCGTTCTCTGGATTCACCTGTTCCACGCAAAAAAAAGAAGAAGAAGAGGCCGGCCCTCTTTCCCCCTTGAAAACCACAAAACTGTCCACCCCCAAAAAAACACAATGCACACACGCACAAAAAAAAAAACAAGAGAAGCCTTTGCCCCCTAAAAAAAACCAAAAACATAAAACGGGCCTCCCCCCCACCCCCTCAAAAAACAACAAATCAGGTCAGGGCACTCAGGAGACTGCCCAGGATGTTGCTCTCATCCTCCATGCAGGTCTGTTTCCGGCCTCGGAACGGCTCCGACAGTGCGTGCCACGGCCCCCCCGCTTCTGGGTGGCTTCCTGTATGACACAAATAGGGATGACCCCCTTTTTCGTCATAAACAAAGAAACAAAGAACCAACCAAGCAAGCAACATGCCGGGTTCAATCGTTCATCGGCAGCTGTTTAGTGAACACGCGTCTTTCCGGGAAGCTTCAAGAGATCTTCTCCAGTGTCCGAAGCCTGAAACATTTACCTCAACGTTTGTTTGGCTCCCAGGCCTGAAGTTCAGGGGCGCTTGGTGTCCAAATTCGGAACACCTGGTCCTCTGACCCAACTCCAACGGAGGGCCTGGGGACCCGAACCTCCAAACACGGCCGTGAGGTTGTTTGAGTGTGGATAGAGGGAAACAAAAGGACAACATCCCATTTCTGGGCTCTCCGTTCTCAGACCCGCCGAAAGTGAGGAACCTGTGGGTGGCGTTAAATGGAAAACCACTAAACCCTACAAAGCTGACAAGCAAAGGGGATGGCTGGGAGCCAACCGAACTCAAGATGCATTCCACAAAGAATCCTCATGACTCAAACAGCATCTCCCACAAGCGTTGCGTGTCGACAACCTCACCTGTGGTTCAAATAGCACAAACTCAGCTACCTTTTATTCAATTGCAGAAGAGGCCTTGTTCAAAAATATTGCAATAGTCAAAAATCCATCTGCCTGCTTCCAGGTTGTGAGGACAGGGGTCCTGAAAGGATACGTCCAAAAGCAACTGCTTTGCACAAATATATCTCTAGCCACGTGTGATATCCCACGGCGGACATGGGCAGCTCGTGTTCTTTTTGCGGGTCCTGACCCAACATGGCTTCAGTATTCTTCTTGATTTCCCCTCAAACCAGACCCTAAAGGGGTAGTGCTCCAACACAAACACACCAAAATAGACAATATACTGTAGTCTACGGTCCATTTGGTGACACGGGGGAACCTCAATTTCCGACTCGCTCTTTGTCACATGTCCTCTTGCCACTCAGGTACTGCTTAGTTGGTTTGGATTTGGATTTGGAGGCCAACGAAATGGCTGTGGCTCACAAATGGGTTGCAACCCCAAAATGGCTTGCCCTATGGAACTGACTAAAACAGAAGCGGTCCAATTCCTGGTGGTTTTATTTTGACCCACACCCAAATGGGAAACCACCTCCAAAGGTTCAGGCTCCAAATCGCCAATTGGTGGTAAGGTAAAGGAGCTGAGCTTTCGGCTGACTTCTGCCTCGTACTCTTTTGCTTCCTCGTGCCTCGCAGGCGGCAACGCCGTTCACATCGAGCACAGGCGATCTTTGCGAACGCTTCTTGCGGTGTTCGCACTTCTTCCTTTGCGGGGGTGTCATTTGAAGGGACTCCTTGCCGGCCCGTCTTCATCTGAAGACAAGTTAAAAAGAAGCGCTGGGCCGGCGAGCCGCGTGCCCTCGCTCCCATTGGACGACTTTCGTTTTCACATAGAACCAGATCCTCGCAACGGATCTCGTGCGGCTATGCCAAAGACATGTCATCAATGGCTTGATCTATAGATACCCTCCCTCCAACAACAATGGAAGCTGACAGGAGGTTCTGGAATACAATTTTCCCTTTCAGGAATCCCTCTGTCCACTTCCATGATTGTTAAGAAGCAGGTAAGCAAAATAATCCAATCTACCATCAGCCACCAAGCCCACCTTCGCCGTGCGGCTGCAAACCACTACGCACTGTGAGGTTGCCCCGCCGACCGACCGACCAAGCGACCGACCGACCGACCCACCCAACCAAACTAACCAAACAACCAAACCAAACCAAACAACCAAACCAAACCAACAATCAACAAACAAACAAGCCAACAAACCAACAAACCAACCAAACCAAACCAAACCAAACCAAACCAAACCAAACCAAACCAACCAACCAACCAACCAACCAACCAACCCACCGACCGACCGACCCACCCACCCACCCACCCACCGACCCACCGACCCACCGACCAACACGGACCGACCCACCCACCGACCGACCGACCGACCCACCAACCAACCAACCAGTCTGCCAACCAGTCAGCCAACCAGTCAGCCAACCAGTCAGCCAACCAGTCAGCCAACCAGTCAGCCAACCAGTCAGCCAACCAGTCAGCCAACCAGCCAACCAGCCAGCCAGCCAGCCAGCCAACCAGCCAACCAGCCAACCAGCCAACCAGTCAACCAGCCAACCAGCCAACCAGCCAACCAGCCAACCAGCCAACCAGCCAACCAGCCAACCACCCATCCAACCATCCAACCATCCAACCAACCAGCCAGCCAGCCAGCCAACCAACCAACCAACCAACCAACCAACCGACCGACCCGCCCGCCCAACCAAGCAACCAACCGCCCAACCAAGCAACCAACCGAACAACCAACCCACGGAAACTCAGAAATAACCAACCCGCGGGTGAGCTTGTTTTCATTTGTCCTCCTCGTTGTACATGATCCATTTACTCACCACCTCCCAACAATTTGAACCCCCGGCTGGCCTCTGCTCCTGCTTCTTGGCCCACCTGGCCGCCCGAAGCAAACCGATTTCCGTTGGGGTCGCTAGGCCCAAATTGGCTCCGGAGTGGAGGCAGCGAGATGCTGGAAACAACCATGTCATAATTAATGCGTGAGAACGAATTAGCCCATCAAAAGTTGTAAGTCGCACCTGTTGGAACATAGTAGATTCGGAAAGCTCCCCTTTCGAGTGTGCCCAAACATCGCCGCTTGGTTCGGAATGTTCATTGAAAATACCGGCGCGCCCATCTTCAGGCGGAACCTCCCAACCCCTCGTCAACTACTTTGTCGCTACCGATGCCACCGTACTTGGGAGTTTGGACATGGTCAAAACCAGATGTTGGGGGAAGGGGACAAGCATGCGGGTTTTGTGCTTAGTGGCCTTGTTCAGGGGTGAAGCTTCGGGTTCCGTCCCAAAGGAAGCGCAAATCTGAATTGCATTCAACAGAGCAATCAATAGGAGCTGGGCCAGCAGATTCAGGCCGAAAAGGTCTACTACGTGAGAGTTGTGAGTTGTGACCCAAGGCTTCCCCCTTGATCACCCCAAAAGGAAGCTCGCTTGGTCCTTTGCGCTTTCACGCCGCACCACCCTTCGGAGCAAATCCGGAAGCCCAAGCGTGAAGAAGAATTGCCAACCTGAAGTCAGCGCTGATTCTGAACCCACTTTGCCCGCTCGTCTCCTTTTTGAGGGGCACCAAAGGGAAACCAAAAGGAAAACCGAAGCCACGTTGGGGGTCTGCTAAACAAAGACACACCCACAATGGAATTTGTCCGACAAGTCTTTCATCGCCAAGCTCGTCATTCACCAACCACGAGAACCAAACCTCCTAATGTTGACCCCGGATCAAAAAACTCGTCCTATCATTTTGGGGGACCCCTTCTTCTGACACAGACCCCCTCGGCCAACTCGGAGAAGACTCTCTTGGCTCTGAAACCGAACTCGCCGGCGGTGCTCGTCAAACTTGCTGCTGTTGGTCGCCGCCAAGTAGCGCCGCGCTCCTGACCGAAAGACTCAAGAAGGAAGAAAAGCTCAGATGAGCCATAATCAAAACCCGGTAGTAAAACGGTCTACCCAGAACCATGTAAAGGATCAAGAAGGCGGCCGCAACCATTTATGGTTGGGATTGCCCGTTACTAACCTTCATCGACCCGGGTTTTGATTGTGACTCACTTGGCCATGGTGGAGACGGGTTTGCGACTTGGCGGCTCGGTAACCTTTCCAGGTTGGAGTAAGAGAATCACCAAAAGGTAAACCACTATTTCGGGGGTCCACAGCCTGTTGTTGACGCATACCCCTTTCTGTGACATCATGGCAGTTCCCTTGATATCACAGAAAGTGGCATGTTGCGACATGTCCAACCGCCATAGGTTGAGCCAAAGTACTGGCAAGGGAATCCTCCGATTTGGGCCCGGGCTTGGCCTTCGAGTGAGGTACACCCCACTTGGTGCTTGGGAAGCCTGCTTGCTGTTAAAATATCCAATGCCGGCGCAATTGATCATCCTCAAACCAACTGGCTGCAGTTGTCCTGGCATTGATCATCCTCCGGATGAGAGTGCGTGTCATCAAGCTGGCCCCATTATTTTACCATGATCAAAGTCGCCCCCAAATGGTAGGCAAAAGGGAAACAATCCCATTTTCTGACTTTGATACCCCGCAGAAGAACCAAAACGGGGCACCCAAGGCCAAAGGAGATGGGTGTGTTGCAGCTGTTCCCCATTTTCCCCATCTTCCCCATCTTCCCCCCTCTCCATCGCATGCACACGAGTTCAGCTGAAAGGTGTGCAAAGCTCAAAACCTCTCTTGGTTTGCTTACTCTGCTTATATACTCTGCTTGTCAGTTGTCAGTTGGTGTTGTGGACTGACCGAAAGGCTAAGCTTGATGCTTATGTCTGAAATGGTCGTCCTCCCAAACGTGTCCAAACACTCAGGCGGTGAGCTTCCCATCTCGGATTATCTCTAAAAGGGCCAGCACTGGTTGGTACCACTGACGAAGAAACAAACTGTTCGAGGTACGGTGCAAAAAACCAAACCAACATTGGGATGTGCTTCAGGCCCAGATTCCAGTGCTCCAACTCCGGTATTTACTCCGACAGGCGTCAGGCCACTGCCGCATTTCTTTTCTGCTGTGAAAGTGGATGACACAACTCTCCATGTCACATGGCAAGAATCTAAGAGCGATCCTTGCGAGTGTGCGTCTTAGGAAAGATCAAAACATGAAGCCCATGGTTTCATCCCGCCCGACGTCTGGGAACTCCGCCGTCCCCCAAAAAAAAATTCACTCGACAAGGACGTCTCGGACCTGGAGCGGAAGGACTTGCTGAAACCACGGCAGGCGGTTTATCCCAACGAGTCTCACTTCCTGAGTGGATGGCCCAACAAAACGTCCTGGCACTCAAATGGTCATCCCAAACAAAGCTGAAAGACCTCAGGTTGCAAGTACCGCCCTCCTCACACTTGTTCGCCCTTCGGCGTCTTCGGCTTCTTCGCGACTCGCGACGCTGGCCTCTGGATTTGGAGAGGCCGCGCTCGCGCTCGTCCCACCTGACCAGGATGCACTCAGTTGCATACGCTCAGTTGCATCATTTTGGTTGAAAATAGATGGGGTTGATCAAAATTCCATGTCGGCCCCCCAGTTTTGACCATGGGTCACGTTTCCCATGTGGGAAATATCAAATCTGCTTAGTGGTTTTCCAACCAAAGGTCATCCTATGTAAAGGCCCTTCTGATCAACCCCCAGATGGATTTCCTTGGTTGAAACAACCAGGTGGGTGACGATGCTCAGATACTCAAAGGGGGACCCAGAAAAAGGTTGCCCTGTCCTGAAACCTCTCGGGGGAGAATGGGCCAAACCTTTGGGAAATTGAGTGTCTCTCCCTGGACCTCGTTTGTTTGCCCCCACTTGAACAGGACGCAAGCTTTGAGTCTGATCCCTCGTGAATCTGTCAAACAAGGTTCCCAGAGTCGGTCTACCACTATTCCAGGGGTTGATGTCCCATTCTTTTCAACCATCGTGCTTTTCAAAAACCAGCTGTTTCTCTGGGGTTCTGATGGTTTTCTGGAAAGATCCGGATCCCTGGAAAGAATGAAAATGGAAGTGTCCCCCAGAACTACTGTGGATGGACGAAATCCTGCACCACCTAACAAACCCTGGCATGGTCTGATTCCCCTGTAAATACCAACCAACAACGGTTTCAACCATGGTTTCCAAGTGGTGCGAAATGGATTTTGTCCTTCCACAGTATGTTCATTTCTGGGAATGCCAATGGTTCAAACCCTTCAGCGCTGTGCCCTTGTGAGGGCTTCCTGTCAGAGCTCCTTGGAAGGCCAAGCAGTCGTCAAGGTGAAACACCGATTAACTGGGCTGCCCGTTTTCTGATCCCCCGCTAGAAGTTTTTAACTTTTAGTGGGTTAAATGGAAACTACCACTAAACACTAAAAGGCTAAAAAGCTAAGGGGATGGCTGGGAGCCACCAAGCTATATACTGAAGGGGAAACATAAGACATCCAACTCCCGATAGAGAATCAACAAGTATCCAGGGCGTTGTAAACTCCTCAAAAGGAGCCTGTTCCCTCCTTACAATCAGAAACAAGAACCAGGATTGATACACTTTTGGTGGATTTTTACAGCGGTGCCCCATTCTAGTGGGCAACCCTCACCCCCAAATATCCACCCGGCTCTTAACCTTGGCTATGGAATTGACAAACAAAACATCACAAAGAGCGGGCTCCTTAAGCGGGTCAACACGCAGGGATCCGATTTTCCTCATCCTATTTGTGCGAGAGCCACGTTGGCACTTAAGGGAACCCGCCGCCCTCTGGCGCTTCAGGTGGCTAGGGGCTCGGGAGTTGAACTCCATAGGCCAACCTGCTGTTTGGGCTGACACATCGCCAGCCTTTTTACACAGCGATTTCAAAAATCCAAGAATTGATCCACCCGTTGACTTCTTGGGCTAGAGTGAAGAAACCTAGCAGCAAAAAAATTATCTGCCGAAGAAGCCAGAAAAAGACTTGGGCTTGGAAACTCCCAGAAAGCCGCTGGCAAAGATGGTGTGGGAGGAATTGCAAAGTGGTTAGTTTGTAACCCTGGTTGCAACCCAAAGCAATGGTTGTAAGTCCCCCCTAATTAACTAAGGTTACTACCCTTTCATCGATTCCTCCCAGACCATCTAAGAGATGATGCACAGGGCTCCTTCCAGGGGAATCAGTATCCAACCCCACCTATGTCCCCAAAAGGGGGAGGGGATCCAATGACAGCGCAGGCCTCTTGCCCCCCCCCAAAAAGAAAGAAAGAAAGAAAGTCAAGAACACAAATTGGTGATTTCCCTTTCGTTCCCCTTGAAGCCACCGAAAACGTGTACCAACTCCAAAACAAGACGCGCCACCCAGTTAATATCTTCTGTTTACACACCCCACAACCCGAAGCCACCGAAAACGGGTACCAACTCAAAAACAAGAAAATGACGCGCCACCCATTTAATATACAACCCGAAGTTTAAGCATTGGCTCCCCGGCGCGAAATCCATCGAGTCCGCGGTGATCCGACGGCGCGGCGCCTATCCCCCATGGACCAGCTCGCTGAAATGACGCTCTTGGGGCTCTCAGGGCTCCAGGAGGCTTCCCTCAGGCGCGGCAGGGGAAAAAAATGGCGGCGGGGAACCCCCTGATCTGCTTGGGGTCCTAACATCCGGGCGAGATCTGTTTGGGGGGGTCTGATCGGTTTGGGGTCCAAACAAACACCTCGGTCAGGCCAATGAATCTGTGCCTATTTGAATCAACTCATTTTGGACACAATCTGGAAAGGGACCCCCAACATGACACCCCGCCATTTCTTGGTGCTTCCCAGCCATCCCCGTCAGGCTTAGCCTGGCGTTTTCAGGCTCAAAATTTAGAGACGTGTTAGGAATCGCGCCCAGAGAGAGCAAGCCGGAACCAGACAAAAAAGTGGAAGACAAGGAACCCGACATAGAGGCTTGAATGCACTTCAAAAAATTGCTTCCTATATCTAGCGATCCCCATAATAAAACGATTAGTGGCCTTTTGAATAGGAGACAAGCAGTTCTCGGAAGCAAAGGGTGAAAACATGACTGTGCCGTGTTTGCCCCCCCAAACAGGCGACTTGGCTTCGCAGGTCTGCGTCTGTTCGGTCGTGCTGATCATAAATAACGTGTGGTGTGCTTGTGTTTCATGAACTTGTGTGTTGGCGATGTGATCCATGTATGAGCCCAACGCTAGGTGTTGGTCTTCCCGCATAATATGCAGGCAGGGCTGGGCTGTGCACCATCTCAAGCTACCCCCGCGTAAAGTTTCTGGGCTCATGAACCTTTAACTATGGGCAAAGATATGGAAAGCCTGCAACCAAAGGGGCCCAACAAAGCCAGGGTTCACCTATATATCTACAAATTCTGCAAGTCCAAGTACTGAAAAGCATGGATGGATCAAGCACAGGCCCTACATGAGCTTAATCCAAAACCGGTCGCGGGAGATCCCTCCAATACCTTTTCTCTCTCTCAGCTCCTGGCGAGTATGGGCCTGGGGAAACCGGGGTCATCCGCGGATATGGGCATGGCGAAAGACCGCCTGAGCGAAGCAAACAAGTTTTCGGCGCCGCCTTTTGGTGCGCGAAAGTCGCGCCCAACACAACGGGGATGCAACTTGTTCAGGACCCCCCTGGTTGGTGGAATCCAAGAGAAACCAAGTCAATACCAACCATATATCTAGTATATGTATATATATAAACATGTGTAGATATATATACATATATATATATATATATGTTGTTGCTGTTCTTTTTTTTTGGCGGGGGTGCCCTACTTGGAAGTTCAGCCTGCTTAAGTCGGTCACCATGCAACCAACCCCTACATTGCTGTATGTTTCACCTACAACCTTGACTGTGACCCAAAACAAAAAACCAAGTAAGGCCCTGACAGTTTAGGGAAAATTATGTTTTCCATCCACCAGATCTGGAAACAAAATTGAAACCCCTTTCAAAGGGAAGCCAAAGGAAAGCCAAGCGAAACGGAAATCATTGCTTGGCGAGGTTCAAACTGGGAAACCATGGTGCTTTTCTTGCTGGTTCTGAGGGGGTTTAACAATTCAGAACCAATACACACTAAGAGAGGAAGCACACACCGACCGAGGACTCAAGAGGATGCAACTATGACTGTGTGCCGTCGACGGGCCCTACATATAGATACCAGATCAGAATGACCCAGGAGTTAACCAATCGACTGAGTCCTCCTAGGACTTGCCTCAAACTGGAACCCCAATTTGATAGTTTGCCCTTTGGCACTCGCCCAAAAAAGGGTGCCGCAAAGCGAAAGAGCGAGAGAGAGGGAGAGAGAGAAAAAAGAGAGAGCGAGTGAGACCGACACACGCTCCATCCAAGCGACATCCTCATAAGATTACTGGATTACCCTGTTTTTGGTGGTTTGGACCAATCGGTTTGGAGGTTTCCCGCCCGAGACCGCGGCGCCTCAAGCTTTTTTTGGCCCAGTCTCAGGGCTCCGGGCGTCGGTCCTTGTCCTGAGCGCAAGGCCGTCGCAAACCCAAACTCCTGGGGACTTCACAGTGCTCAGTTTTTTAGCTAGGTTTTGCAGTAGAGAGCTAAGAACAAGGGTACCCGATTTGCTTTTCTTCTGTAGTCTATTTTAGTAGCCAAAAAAAGAAACGGTAAAAGGGCACTACTGGGGAACCTAGTTAGGGATGTGGGGGTTGATCAATATTCCTGGCCCCCAAATGACCATGGGTAACTTTTCCCATGTGGGAAGTGTCATCTGTTTAGTGGCTTCCCCATGTCTCACTCCCTTCACTCCCAGATCGCAACTACCATTGCAGGTATAGTGGGCAACACGCCACGTTCTTGTTCAGTTGTTAAAGGACGGTTCCCTGGTGAGCTACCATCAAACTGGTAAACGGAGTCACTGAGCAATGTATTCACTCGATTCAACATGTGGTTCTTGTGACAGGTTGTTGTCCGCTGGCGGTGCACAAACCAAAGGTCCCCGATCATTCGCCCAAACATTCGCAATCATGCGATTTTCTCTTTGAAGAGGGGTGAGCCACTAAACCGATGGATGGTTCATGCTTGCCGTTTGGAACGGACATGAAGCAAAGGCCCCCAATCATGGTGCTGCAACGAGCCAACCAAAGACCCCTCCTCAATGTGGACACAATCTTTAGCGTGCGTGAACCGGGAACAATCAATGCCTTCCCAGTCACAGTCAGTGCATGCTGGTGCCGATTCTCAAGCTGCCTTGTTGCCTCATAGTACTCACTTGCTGAGTGGATTGGCCACAAATACGCCACACAGGTTTTGCTGGACTAAAACAATCTTCACAAAAACGACAAAGTCCAGAAACTTTGGAGGTGAGACGACCACTTGCAGCAAGTGCAACTGCAACGCCCGCATCACACACATAAACAGCTTTTTGGTTGCCCTCCTCCGGAAAAAAAAAAGAAACACAAAGAAGGAAACAAAAAAACGAACCGCGCCCAACAGACAAAGCACATTCGTTCAAGGAGTTCTGCATGGAGTATGGGCACTTTGAGCATCTCTCAAGTCCAGAAACTGGAGATCATGTTCCATGTCCCTCCCAAACAGACCCACGAATCATGACTGCAGTCGAAGCGCCAGCATCTTGCGGGAGGTGTCGCGAAAAATGTCCGCAAGGTCCCCGCGCCCCTTTGGGGAGGAGCCCTGCGACATCGCGAGCAACCGCGCGCTCATAAAGCGTCTCCATCGGCATCATGGAGCCCGATCTTTTCCGAGGGGGTTTGGGATATGTCTGTGAGGACACCAAGAGGACACATGATGAGAGCCACAGGGGATTTTCCAAGGGTTGCGCCAGCCCTTTGCAAAAAAGTGCGCAAACAACACGCCTGCCAATGCCGATGCCCTGGCCATGAGCAAAAAGTCAATCAACCCTTCGCGAAGGGGGGCAATGCCCCTGCAAGAGAAGCCAAGGTTGAGAGGAGTGCTGCTCCCACTTCCATGATCCCTGTGGTTGCAAAACTGCCCACTCGCTCTGAATAGTGAGGAATATCAACTCCTAACTGGGGCATACATCCTCACAGAACTTTGATGTCCACCATACGGTCAACTACAATTTTCACACCATGTGGAGGACTCCCCAATCCCCCTATCTGTTTTTTTTTGTTTTTCTCGAATGAAGCCAGGCGATGTTCTTCACAAAGGTTTCCCAAAGGGGACCTCGTCCATTTGAAGCCGGTCAACTACCTGTGTGTGTAAGAGGTCTACCCCATCTTGGCTGTACACGTGAATGGGTTGTATCCATTTTTTGACAGTCTTTGACCCAATGCTTCCCATCAATTCCATTCCTCATTCAGACGTTTTGTTTAGTGTGATATCACTGATTTGGTAGAATCCCACGTTGATAGCTTGATTGATACGGCAGTGTTTACGAAAGAGAACCTTCATTATGGTGGTGCCCGTATTTTTGGAAACTCTTTTAAGAGACAGTACAGTTTTTTGGATTGACAAACCTCAAAAACAGAGAAAATAACGAGTACTGTTGACCCCAGATTAATAAACTTTTGGTGGAGTATCGGGGGGGTGTCCCCTTTTAAGGTGGAATCCTTCACTTTTGTGGGTGACACCGCTCCCCCCCCCCCCCAACGGGAGGGGTTTGTTCATCCGGGGTCAACATGAAAGAACATTGCGGGCGGTTGTTCTGCACCTTGACTGGGATTGTCCCTTCTAACCTTCTACCCAGACTTTCTGGGCTGTTCAAAGTGGAGGGTTGGCCCATCCTGATCGATACATCAATATAGGGATGCCCCTACAAGGGCCCTTGCGTAACCGAAGGTAAGACTTAAGGATTTGTCGGCGAAAAGGCTTCGTTGCTTGCGCCTTGCTCACGTTGCTCACTTGGCGCAGAAACTCCTCGCCATCCTCGGAATCATCGGGAACCTCTCTAACTGGTCAGCGTCATATGAGCCACGAAGTAGGAACTGCTTGTTGCCCCGCAACCAGATGGAAAAAGAGAGGTTGTTCCCTGGTATTGTGGGGAGTTTGGGTTGTCCCCTCATTGCGACTACCAACAGTTTTGGCAGTAAATGTGTTGTTCCATTACGGTCCAGTCTTGGGTTGCAAGTTTCGACGGGTATTTGATTGCCTCCAGTCCCTTCAAGAGGGGTCTCAAGATGAAGGGTACTCGAGCAGACTTGTGACCTTTGCAAGCTCGTAAACACCAGCAACCCATTGGGACTTGTGAATCTGGGTGAATCCAACCGGAAATCTGGGACCCCAATGGAAGATTCATAGAGTCGACCCCCAGTTGCCAAATGGACGGCCCAAAAATGGTCGCCAACCCCCCGTCCAATGACGCCAACCCCCAGTCGCGCACATGGACAATCAAAAATACCGAGGCTGTCCACTTAACATGTCGCCGATCCCCTCCACGCCGCTGCAGTGTGTCGGCTCGAACAACAACTGGGGCTCCGAATATGTTTCTCCAGCGGAAACCTTTTTTTAAGGGCCCCGCACATGAGGGGGCTAGGTTAAAAACAAGACACATAATATATATATATATATATATGTATATATATATATGGATTTGGGAGATGTTGCTTAATGTTTGACACTTTTCCAAAAAACAAATCGGGCGATCCGGAGAAATCCACGCCATCAGATGGGGCCCTTCGGAGTGCTTCGCCCGCGCTGGGAGTCCTTCGGAGAGCGGTCCGCCTCCAATTCCTGCGTTAAAGGCAGCCCCAAAAGCCGAACAGGAGGTCGGTGGGAACCTACTGGCAACCCTTTGCCCATTTTCTACGTGCTTGGGTCATTTGGTAAAAAACTTTTAGCAATCCTGAAGAAAAACAAACCATGACTGTTTGAGATGGCAAAGCGAAAGGGCGGAACGGCTGGTTTCCTTTTGGGTTCCCTTCAAATCACCCAAGAAAGACAATGAATAACCTTAACACCAGTGACCAGTCCTGGGACTGCGTCTACACATCTTCGGTTTGGCTTCCCTGCCCAACCATGATCAACCCCAGGAACCAAGCCCAAAGAAAACACATCTGTGTCGCCTTCATCTTGGTGCTCACGAAATGAGGGAATGACCCCTATAAACTATCCGCAGTGGTTTCCTTTAAGGGACTCCCCAGGTTCATTCCCTCATTCCGATTTTCCGGGCCCAGACGCGAATGGCTCGAATCGGTGCCGATTCCGATTCTGGCGGGCCTTGTCAAGCAAGAAATCGGCCAAACGCCGACTGGTCTTCGAACCCTGGCGATCAGCGCCAGATGCTCATCCCGGAAGAGTCCAGATTCTTAGATCGCCTCCGGAAGTCGTAGCTTGTGAGCCCTGTGGTTCGTTGAACAATTACCTTGGCAACCCTGGGTGAGTCGCACTGGTTTGCCTCAGTCTCCGTTTGACCTGCAAAACGGGCACCAAAAGGATACCTAGGCCCTCCAGTACAGAGGTTAGAATAAAGGTACACTTTTTGTGTGTTCTATGTTAGTCGGGGAACCCGCCCCCAAAAAAGGGTAAAAGGGCACTACTGGGGGACCTAGGTACCCTCAAAGATTGATTTGTTTCAAAAAGTCTCGGAGTTGATTGCCGACTCACGTCGTTCTGAACGCACCAGCCATATTTTGACTGGAAAAAAGAGGGAGTTACCACTACAATTCCTAAAAACCCTGACAACCTCAGATTTCAAACACCACCAATCACCTTCCCCTCTCCAAAGGACCTAGAAACTGGGCAGACAGATCCAACCGCTGCAAAGAAAAACAAATGTCTTGCTTGTCAAAAAGGGGAAACTGTGAAAGTTCAACAGGCCACAAAGGACAAAGCGGTCCTGCAGTCTGGGAATGGAAGTTAAAGGCTTTTGAACAACGGGAACTGGCGCCGCACAGATTGGTTACCCTGAAAACCATCCCTGTTGAGCTCGGAGTCTCCTTTTTGATTTTTGGGTATCCATGGTATCCCAATTTTTGGGTACCGTCGCTGCAAACCAGTCAAGAAGGATCCAATCTTGACACCGCTACCAGGCCGCACCTTGGCCCGCTCGGTGAGAGCGCGCGGCTCGTCCTGTTGCAGATGCCACCATTTCCATAGATCTGCACTTCCCCCCTACCTTCGCTACCTTGGGGGTGACCCGGTTCCACTTTCCAATCTTCCCCGTAGGAAAAATGGAACCTTTTTTACTTCCAGGGGTCACCCTCCTCCCGCAATTCCATTTTAAAGGGGTGGGGATGCGCAATCCGGACATCAGGAATCCCTGCCAAGAGAGCTTCATGCATGAGCTCGTGATCAAGAGTTGGTCGCCCCCAATCCGCACTCAACCCGCGTGCGGGGCTTCAATGGAAAATATCAACTCCCTGGTGCTAAGAGAGACCTCGCTGCCTGATTATCCTGATTCAATCAAGTTTCTTTGGCAAATGGCCATCCACTTGATCCGCTTCCTGCTTCTTCGCTACCTTTGGGCTTCTTCACCTCTGCAACCCTTTTTGAAGCCGCTCTCGTTCAGTGTAGGCGAACCTTCCGAAGGCCCATCCCTTCGGGAACAACGACTGGAAAAACTGGCCTGACCCGTCCATACGCCTGGCATTTGGCGTGGGGTCACTGAAATTCCCAAACTCAAAAGTGGCAGCCTGGTGGTTTCCAGTTCCTTCTTAAGCTTTGTCCACAAGGGCGGGGTGATTGACACCGCCAGAAACTTGAAGTGTTCGCGAACTAGACGGACAAATTCCTTCGCGGGGCCCTTGCGGACGTGTTTCTCGCCAACTACTTGTAGCTGGCTTCGCTTGTTGCGAGAGGCTTGGAGTGTCACACGAGGCCCAAGAAAAGCCAGCCGGCGGTCCGGCCGCGGATGGGGTTGACAGGCAGCTAAGGGAAAACCAATTTCAGGGCACTGAAGCTTTGGAATTGGAATACATTGTTATACATAGTTTATAGCCGGGCACAGGCTCGCCCAACCCACACTTGCCAGCCACTTCGCCGGCGACGGACCAGACACCAGACAGGAAAGAAGAGCGAAGGCGAGCAGGCAGAGCAACGCTGTGTAGATTGCGCGGATAGCCCTGCCCAGGATGGCACTGGTACTACGGCCAGGGATGGCAGCGCAGCAGTGCGCGCGCAACTCTTCGACAGTTGTCCATGCAATAAGGGTCAGAAAGTAGATGCCCCACCGCCGCACACGACGCCTGCCCTGAGCCTGGTTGGCAGTCACCGACAAGGGCGGCAAGATGCCTTGCCAAGTCTTCTTCGACCGGCGGCCGTGGCCGGATGGGGGATCCAGCAACTTGCCAAGTCCAGAACCAAGAGCAGTCCGGACATAACCAGGTTGTGTGGTTGCAGTGGTGTAATAGATTTGATGGGCACCCCTGTTCCACTTGCGACATGAGCCCCGAAAGTGGACGGCTGCAACCTGGACATACATGTGGTCCCCCATCTGCACCACACCAAGTGCAGGGGAGGGCTTCCTCGGGACAGCACGTCCCCGTTCCGAACGGGCACCCCGAAGGACTGGACCAACTTGATGCAGCATTCGACAGGCGCAGACCAGACTCCGACTGAAGGCGGGACAGCAGCTGTGTCGGCGCCAACCGCAGAGTCACTTGCGCTGACTGGCTCACGCACCACATCCCCAAACGTTCCGGCCTCTTGACCGCGGGGTCATGGGGTATGGGAGCAGCATCTTGAGAGTTTCGACAACGTCGTGTGCAAGAAACCACATAGCTTGCACGCTGCGCGTAGTGGTACCTCAGGGCCCAAACCAAACAGCAGCAGGGTAGTCAGAGTGGTGACCGCGCTAGCGGTAGCCAAGGTCCCATGCCTCTTCTGCACGAACAGCAGAACACGTCTGGGCGTGCCAGAAGGAAGCACACCCTGCTGCTGCCAGTACTGCGCCACCACTGCCAACTCTAGCTGAGCTTTGAGCATTTCCGTCCACCCGCCGCCGATGGCCCGTACGCAGCGGTTTACAGTGTCACTGACAGGTCCGCTGCAGATGGGTCGTCAGGGAGACGAAGGCCTTGCGCAGCGCAGGGGTGTATACTGCCTTGTGTAAGGAAGCATTTTTTCCTTGCACCGTGCGTTTTTGCCAAGCCTCCGGCGCTTCCGGAGCAATGCGCGGATCGCATCGCGCGGGGAGGTCACCATGCATCCTTTCACCAACAGGTATGCGAACAGCCACCAGTAGGTATACGGACATTGGGCAAAAGGGGCTGTCGCTGGGCAGCAGCGCAGCGGCGTCTTGTGCCTCATTGCCTGCCACAATGACCGGCTTGGGGATTTGCCAGTTGCCCTGGTGACTGCGAAAATCGACGCCTGCCAATCCTGATTCAGCAAAGGCCAGCCGGGACATCCAAATCAGCGGTCCCCCTGGAGCAAGAGTTGAACGTTCCATTGTTCCGGATGCTGGCCTACGGTAGCGCAGCGCTGCCAACATACCGGCAAGTTTGGCAGTGTGGATGGTGGCAAACTCATGCCCCACCCTTGTTGGCAATCGACTAGAGATGGGGTCAGACACCACAACGGAGCTGTCCCAATAGGGGGCGCTCTCAAAGGACACAACATTTGGGAGAAACTTCTACCTCTTGATTCCTTTTCGAAGGGCCTTTGGCTTCTTCACGTGGAAGACTGCCGTAAGTGCTAGAAAAGCAAACTTTTAATCCGGGGCACACGCATGAATCCGAATCAAACATTTGTTCTGTTCGCGCATCTTTGGTTTGTGGCTCAGCCAAAATGGTGGCTTGGACTGGTGGCTTGGGGAATTCAATTCCTGGCATCTGAGGAATGGGAAACCTCCCCCTAACCTCCGAACCGTCAGGCTCCAAATCACCGATTGAGCGGCTTTCCGAAAGCCGCCCGGTCCCGCTCAAACTTGTCCACATTCAGCGGCAGCGGCAGCGGCCGGAGCTTGAGCTTCGTCGACCCCTGGAAAGAACGGGAGCCTACGCCTCAATCCATGTGGACGTGGCTCAAACAAGATCCGGGGGCTGCAGGATTTCAGTCTATGCCTCCATGTGCCAAAGTTCCATTTTGGGCCTTCTTCTTTTTTGAGCCGCACCCACGTGGTCCCAAATCAACGGTAGAACTCGGTTTTTTTGTTCCGGGGCCCCGGAAAAGGAATTCCTCCACACCTGAGGTGTTCGAGAGCTCCATGTCAACCTGAACAAACCAGGTGGTGGGCCGGCAAAGCGCAAACAGTCAAAAGATGCTCCAAATACATTGTGACATGTGAGAAAACATGGTTGCAACATTCAAATAAAATTCCTGCCCCTCACCCAAGTGGCTACTAGCCAAACACAATGCACCAGCAGAACGACGTCACTGTAGGACGTTCTGTGTACATATGCGTCATTGCACACAACAATTGGCACGCACGTGAATGAAGTTGGATGGTATTGTATGCTGACATCAGAAAATAGCAATACATATATACCGTATATACCAGTAAAGCCGGCCAAGCCTGATGGCGAAAGCTTCAAAATATAAGAACTGTAGGTATCTTTCTCTTCCGCTTCTTGTGTACTGCTTCTCTTCTTGCTGCTTGTCATGGTTCTTGGTGTTCTCCTTTCTCTTTGCGCAACGCGGGCGGGCAGGCTATCACTATCTATCTATCTATCTATCTATCTATCTATCTGTCTATCAATCTTTCCATCCATCCATCCATCTATCTATCTTAGGTTGCCGTCACTACCAACCCCAAGTAAATGAGCTTTTGACAACGGCACACATGTGTACAAGTGTATGTTTTGGGGGGTACCCTTTTCGCCTTGCTTCAAAAGGGAACCAACAGGAAATCTGTTCACGTTTAGAGTCCTCATATTCTGACACTTGCCCCTATGTGTGTGTGTGTGCTTTCTTGAGGGTAGCAACAAAAAGCTTGAAGCTTGTTAAGTCAATGGGGAAGAAAAGCGTAGAGCCAATGGAAATGCCAAGGGCCGATTCCCGATTCGGGCCACGCTTAAGTCGGGTTGTGGTTCGTGGGATCTTCCACCCAACTTCGGCTCGGTTGCTCAGTGGCTCCTTCTGGCGCCGCGTTGGGTTGCGTTGCAGTTGCGTTCTGGGGCGCTCTGATTTCTATGTTGTGACTCTTGTGACTCTTGTGACAAAAGCGGAGCCATGTTCCAAACCCTCCGCGCGGCGCTTTGCTCAGTCGAGCACTGCCCACCCCAAACATCCCGAGAATCGCTCGGCTCCGGCGGCTCACGCTCCGCCTGCACCAGCTTGGTATCCTCCTGCGCGAAGCCGAGCTTCGGAGGGAACCAAATTGGACGGGTGCAAGTGCCAAACCTGACGGGTTCAGGCACTGGGGCAACACGTAGTCAGGCGGGAAGTCAAAGACCGGAGAATAAGATGGCAAAGCCTGATCGAAAAAGTCTTCGGCCTGGTGCAAGTCACTAACTTTGATCGTCAGCCCTTTCTTCAAGCTTTGGGGAATTGTGAGCTACCAATCAAAACATTGCTAAAAGCGGTTGAGTGGAGGGGTGCGACAAATAATCATACAAGTCCTAAACGACCCTTTCGAAACCTTGGGTCACCTTGGGTCCGAAAGGATCTTTCTTTGAGAAGACCCAATGCAGAGCAATGTCTCCTGTACCTTGGCCAAAACTGTGCGATATGCTCATAACAGCTCAAGCAGAAAGAGTTTCCTGTCGAAACACAGCAGAAAGAGATTGGTAAACGACCCCAGTTTCTGACCTTTCGTACAGAAACGATCAAACGCATGGCTGAGTTTTTGTTTAGGGGAACCCCCTTTTGGTTGGGTTTAAAGGAGAAAGCAAATGAACACCCCCGAAAAAGCCCATAAGTTCTTCCGCCCCAGCCGGTCCTCGGCACTCGCAGGCATGGCAGGCATGGTAGGCATGGTAGGCATGGGGGCACGAGTCTCGGAGCAACTTCGGTCGACAAAACTTTTACATAGGCTGGGCTGCGAAAAATAGAAGGGCCAATCCGAATCCATAATTAATCCCTATAGGAAAGCCACTACAAAGAGAACCCCTTGCGCAACCCAGGGAGAGGATTAAGCATTGCGATTGAACAGCCCAAACATTTGGCTCAATCCCGAAGCATACAGCCCGCACATTCCTGTGGGTTGGGCAATCCACACACTGGGACACAAAACACCCGGACATGCATGAGATCCCATTAATCAGACCTTCCTGAAAGCGACATCTGGCGAGGTTGGGCCAAGCATCCGTTTAAACATGTTTGAACAAAGTTGGTTACACATGCTCAATTTAGGTGCCCAACCTGACTGGAGAAAAACTGTCTCGCTTCCAAGGTATGTGCCAAACTTCTCAAAAGAACAACCCCCTTTGCAAAAGGAGACAGGGGACTTGCAAATGGTTAGTTACCCCGGTTGTAACCCATGTGCAACTGTTATAGGCTATAGGTTGTAACCCATGTGCAACTGTTATAGGCTATAGGTTGTACCCCATGTACAACTGTTATAGGTCACTTCATAAGTAGGTTATAATAAAACCGACAACCAGGGTTATCAACCAGCAACTAACACGCCTCCCTAAGACTCTTCCCTCCGTTTGACGCTCAGCGCCGCACGGGCGGAGGTGTAATCCTGTGCCAGGCGCACCCAATGGTCTGGGCATGGCTAGGCTTGTAGACGTTCCACACATGACCCCGTGGTATGAACGCCCAGTTTGGGTCACTCGGAACTCGGCCATGAATGAATGGCTTAATTATGGAAGCCAGCTCCAAAGTCCACAATGGCCGGGGGTTCATACATAGACTTCATGGAGATGTACAACCTGCCGTTGATTGGCATGAGCCGCCAAACATAGAGGACCTGCAGGCGTTTGTGGTTGAAGCTCCGTGCGAGTTCTAGTTCTTTGATGTCCAAAGGGTCCCTAACAATTCATACTGTGGAATTGCGACATCCTCTTAGGCAGCACCTAAGAAACCCTGGTGTCTGATGATTCCCCTACAAATACCAACAAACCATGGCGTCAACCATGATTTCCAAGTGGTGCGAATGGATTTCGTAACCATCCACAGTATGTCTCCTTCCAGACCCGGACTTCTGAAACTTCTGGACACGAAAGGTGAGGCAGGTGTTCAAAGCGACACCAGCAAGCGACAAAAAAACTGCTCGGACTGATCCAACCGCTTGGAAGATTTCCAGTATCCAGGAAAACAAGAACCCAGGCGGGAGGGTACTAATGGCTTCCACTGAAACTGCCACTGTTGGCGGCTCCAAACTCGGTTGCCCAAAGGAGCTGCAACTAAAAGGTCCTTTTGGGGCCATGACTAAAGAAGGACCAAACAAGAAAACCAAAAGGTCAAAAGGTCGATTCGCTTTGAACAACTGGAAGATTTCCCTGCGCAAGGTGAAGGTGGAACACAAATTCGCGGGGATTCGGGGGATGTCCGGACATTTGTCCGGGGAATTCCTGTAAAGGACACCGTGTCTGAAATTATCCGCACAAAATCATCTGCCAAAATTCCTGCGTCCCCCGCATCCCTATTTGTTTGTTTGTGTGACAAAATGGCTTGGACCTTTCGATAAAACTCATGGGTTCAGTTTCCGTTGCCCTGAGACATGCGCAGATCCGGGGGTGGGATTTGACAAGCTCACAGCTTCCCTTGCGGATTTATGGTCGCTGCCTTTTTAGGGTTGAGGTGTTTTTTTTTTACTAGCCCCGGCTTTTTACTAGCCCCGGCTCGGCACAAGGCCTCCCTCCAAAGAGGTTGGGCTGGGTGTTGGTGGCCGCATCGCCAGCATTACCGGCTTCTTGTCACGGCTGCATATGGGGCATGACTTGATGCTCGGGATAGCCGGCCGCATCGCCAGCATTGCTGGCCTCACTCGGACGAGAGCTACCTATTGGCTTTGATTTGGTGGCAGTTCAGGGTTGATCGGGGCTGGTTTGGGGTGAGTGTTGGGCTTGCTGAGATATTAATGCGGGCGGGTCTTGGGTTTGTTGGGGGTTCATTTAGCCCCGGCAAAGGGATATGCAGGATGCGGTTGGGAGGGTTTCAGGCTGGCTTTCGGAAGCCACGGATAAACCGGCCGCACATCTAGCAAGAATCAGCCCCAACCAAGCCAAAACCGACCCAAAGTCAGCCTGAAACCCTCCCAACCGCATCCTGCATATCGGCCCTTTGCCGAGGCTAAATGAACCCCAAACAAACCCAAGACCCGCCCGCATTAATATCTCAGCAAGCCCAACACTCACCCCAAACCAGCCCCGATCAACCCTGAACTGCCACCCAAATCAAAGCCAATAGGTAGCTCTCGTCCGAGTGAGGCCAGCAATGCTGGCGATGCGGCCGGCCATCCCGAGCATCAAGTCATGCCCCATACGCAGCCGTGACAAGAAACCGGAAATGCTGGCGATGCTGGGGATGCGCCCAGCTGACCAACCAAGCAACCAACCAACCAACCAACCAACGAACCAGTCTCCGAGCCGGGGTTAAGCCCCGAGCCGGGGCTAGTTAAAAAAAAACGGTTCCCCTTTTTAGCCGCCCCCAAAAAAATGATAACATAAAATAATACTAATAATAATAATAATAGTGGCGGTTGCTCTTTTGCCTTCCAGTGACAAAAGACAAACCCTTATTTCAGTGAAGAAGAACGACTCGTTGACCATGTGAGTTGACCAATGGACGCAGCCATAGTCACGATTTGGGGTCGCGTCCTTTTTGGATACCAGGGGGTGTATTAATGGGAAACCAAAAGGCGACTACCCGCTCTAAGCGGTTTCCCTATTTTGACCCAAACCCATGTTCAGGCGATGCGCATGCGTGGCCGTACCCATGGTGCGCAAGCCAAGTTTACAACAAGGTATGGTTATGCTCGCCTGATCTAAATGTTCAAAGAGGGTAGGAGCCTTTCCCTTCAACTTGTGCTTCTCCCAGAATGGCCCCTGTGAATGTCGCACGCCTATTCTGTGTCGCTCTCTGACTCTCTTTCTTGTGGTGTCAACGCCTAATTTTTCTGGGGTGCGTTCGAACTTCCAAAGGGGACGCCCCAAAGAGCACGACTCCATGTGGAGACGGAAACCTCAGACCGAGTTTGGAGGTCCTTGGCCCTTGTGCTGGATTCTTTGACCCTAATTTACCTTGCCCTAATCGGCTTGGTTTAGTGGCGTGAAACAAATTGGGGCAGCTTCCCCATCTAGGAATAGCCACAATCCAAACCAGCCACGGGCTGCCTGACCAGCAAAAGCGAAAATCAGATCTGTTTGCGCATCTGGCGTGTCGAAAGATACTCGACTCCGCGCTCCTGGCTGGCTCCTGCGTCGAGTCCAGACCTCTGCCTGCCTCGGTTTTGACGGGCCTTTTGCTTTAAAAGCGCCAAAAAAAGGTGCGCCAGAGATGGGTGGCTCGACTTTTAGGAATCGGGAACCAACATGGCGCAACTGGGGCCAAAGCAGAATCGGCTCACCTTGTGACCTCGCGAAGAAGTAGAACATTGGAAAGCCAGAAGGTGAATAGGTCGGCTTTGGCGTGATAAAATAGCTGGGTACACCAATTACCCATGCTTTCAGTGGTCCCGGAGACTGCACATGTACGTGCAGAGAATTCACTTACGTTGATTTTGATTGACTTTGGGTTTGGCTTGATTGGCTTGTTGTTCTATGACTCGCACAAGAATCGTACAGGACGTGGACAGGCCCATCTGCTGTTTCCTGAAAAGTGTCGTTGGCACACCCTCAAAGGCTGAGTGGGTGTACATGGCCACTAGCTAGCTACTACTTGCACAACAATCTTACATTACGGGGAACGTGGGAGGCCTGCCTACTATATCCGATGTTTCCTGAACAACTTCATTTAAGTGTGGCATTTTCACGGTACCACAGTTTGGTCTGTTTCAAAGGGAAACCAAAAGGAACACCGCCATTCATACTATTATCACGATAATTTTATGTTTTTGTTTCGTGCTTTTTTGGGGTGGGGGGTGATTCGTAAAACCGAGGAGCCACCCCACGGGCAGTACACAATGCATCGAAGTTCAGGGGGCTGAATCCCAAAGGCTTTGGAACGGGTCCCAAGCAAAGGCCGCGATGTCAAAGTGAGAAATGGACTCTGTTTGTCGTTTATTTTTTGGGTTTTCTGAGGGGGTGGTTGTAGTTTGCATGGGAACCTAAGACTTGTTCAACAGACGCAAGTTGATAGGGAATCCCCAATGAACCGTGATCAGCTCTGAGGACACTGACTTCTCCATGGCACCGACAAAGGATGACTCCCTGCCAACTCACAAAAATATGATAGCAGGCTTCAACAGGGGCCTCTCCCCCAAACAGGACATTGAATGGGGCGAGGCCAAACTGTGCATGGATTCGGATCTGTGTTTCAAATAAGGCAATAATCTAGGGGTACCTTCCCCATTCTTTCCCACAATCCTTCTTTTCAGGAAGCCATCAAAAACCCAGGAAAACAGCTGGTTATTGAAAAGAACGATGGTCGAAAAGAATGGGGAATCAACCCCTAGAAATAAATACAAGAACTCTGAAGGACTCAACCGACTCAAAGAAGAGAGTCTTTCACAAAGGTCCCTTTCCCCAGTTGTCCGGCGACCCTGCTACAACGCATGACGCGTCTTAGGACACCTGGTGGTTTTGGGCCAGGGCCATTTTTTGTGGGTCCCACACCCACCAAACAAAAAACACACGTTCTATTTGAGATGGTCATAAGTCTGACCATGTTGGACCTTGGGGCCTGACATCTGCCTGCAACTGTTTGTAAAAAGACTCGGACTTTCTCGCGCCTTCGTGGGTCGACTCAACCCCCGACCCCGGCCCGCTCCTCACGTAAATAGCGCGGGTTTCGCGGCTTTTGCCTGAGAGGCGAGAAGCCAGGGTTGCGCTGCCGTATGTTAAACCCGACGTGAAATTCGGAGCCCAGCCAAGCTAG